CTCTCTCTCTCTCTCCCTCTCTCTCTCTCTCTCTCTCTCTCTCTCTCTCTCTCTCTCTCTCTCTCTCTCTCTCTCTGGGGTGGGGGTTGGCAATGGTGTTAGGTGACTTGCCCAGGGTCATACAGCTAGTGTCAAGTGTCTGAGACTGGATTTGAACTCAGATCCTCCTGACTCCAGGGCAGGTGCTCTATCCACTGCACCACCTAGCTGCCCCCTACTCTTCTCTTTTGATTCTCCTCCACTCTGCTTTTCTCTCTATTGTCGGCTCATCTCCAGATGTTTGCTGTGTCCTATATTGTTCTTCTGATCTCTGGTTTCTCATCTTCTCACCAACTCTTGTGAAGTCTAATAGCAAGGCTTCTTCGTGAATGGTGACCCATCTGGAACTCAGGTGGAGAACCCAAATTCCACAGTTCTACCAGGTGTAACACAAATGTGCCATGTACAACTTTTCGATAGTCTCCAACCAGTTCTTTCATTTCATTTCTCAGTTACAGCCTTCCAAACCCTTAGAATAGGGTTATAGATTAAGGAACTAATGGACAGCAAGGCACCGTGACCACCCCCACCTATACTCAGCATTCCTGTCTCTGACCTACTTTCAGATGTTTCCCCTCAGTACATTTATCTGAGAGATTGTTTGCTCCCGGGTCCTCAACTATCTGAAGCTGTTTTTCTCATACAAATATCCTTTTACTGTTTCTTTCAGTAAATAAAATGTCCACATATGAAATGGACAATGACTTATACTATGAAAGGGGAAGCACCTTTGAAGAAAAAAATAAAATAGTCCCTGTTGAGCACAGGGGTGGCCTCAAGACTACAGGTTCCCCACCCCTGGTTTAGGAACTTATATTCTATGGGGGGGGGCGAAATATGTAAACATATATATGTACACATATACATATACATACATACATGTAACTGTGAAGCATGTACCAGGTAAACACAAAGTAATTTGTGGGACTCTAGCAGCAGAGGCGATCAGGAAATGGTTCGTGTAATTGGTGATACTTGAACTCAGTTTGTTTGGTCATGCTCCATGAAGCTGCTTCCTACTTGCTCTATATCAACGTGGGGCCCTGAGTGTGTGTCTCCCAGATGGATGCGTTGTCTCCTACTGGTCCAGTTACGTTGTTAAATGATAACAACATCAATAATGCTCATATCTTCCTCCTGGACACTGCAAGGTGCTCTGAGGCCTAGGACTGAAAGGTGAGCTCTGAGCCTCTCCTTCTCTACCTAGTACAACAACCCCACTAAGGAAAGGTGAGGCCACTGGGGAGGATCAATCTGTCAGAGAGAGAACTTGGTGACATGATTCTGTCCTTTCGGTTTTTAAAGGGTAGAGAAGAAAGTTCTTCCTTGGCAACTGTCCCAGATCTTCTGGCCATGCTGGGCCAGGCTTGATTAGAGATCTAGGGTCAGCACCACCTATGACCCTTCAGATTCCCAAATCAGACCCCTTGCTCCTCCTGTCTTGGGTAATACATTTTCTGAGAGGGGAGCCAGACTAGGTAATGCTGCAGAGCCTTCAAAATTGTCTCCTTCCCTGCAGATCAATAAAGACACTCACCTATATACTCTGATTCTTCTCCCGGATTGCACCTACGGGGTCAAGATAGATAATCAACTGGTGGCAGTTGGGGCCTTAGAGGATGACTGGGATTTTCTACCCCCCAAAAGAATCAAAGATCCATATGCGAGGAAACCTCGAAAGTGGGATGAGAGACCCCAAATTGAGGATCCTGATGACAAGAAACCAGAGGTAAATGGATTCTGCTCCTGGTCCCCTGTCTATAAATGATGCTAATTAATGAGACTGAGAATTTTATGAGTCATCGAAAGCATAACCCTTTCACTATTTCACTTTCAGCAGGCATTCCCGCACATCTGGAAATATTTTGCTCTGGGAGAGCTATCTTTGTATCCCCAGGGGCCAAACTATGCTGGACACCTAACAGTCACTTAAACAATTGTTTAATTCATTTGAATCCAAGAACAATTGTATAATACTGTACAGTACAATTGTACTGCTATCTCCATGATAGCATCATTTGCATAGTAGGTGCTCAAGAAATTCATAGTGGGTCATTAATTGAATGAATTACTGATTGTAGAACTTCCTCCATAAAGAGGAGAGATTTTTCCAGGCAGGCAGGCAGCCTTTCCTATTACCCTGCACTAGGCCCAGTAAGCAGCCCCTGGCCCTGACTCTGGGGCCACCAGCATTCTGGGTGCCCTTCATGATGTGCAACTCCACCCCTTGACATCCTTAACCTTCCTTTTTTCACTGAGGGATCTGGAAGCTATGCCATATGAGTTCAGTTGAAAGAACTGGAAATTCCTGGCCTCCGCCCAAGCTGCTGAATCCCTCAGACACAGGAGAAGACCACGGTTCCAGCATCAGGCAGGCTTGCTCCTGTCTTGGCATGGGACAGCCAAGGGAGGAGCGGGGGACCCAGCCATCAGCCAGCAACCCCTTGCCCATTCCTATCAGAGGTCAAATGGAGATCAAGGTCTGATGGAGGGGAGAATAGGGAATAGGAGAATTGTTCATTTTAGATGGACCTGCAGGGAGGATTCACTCACACTGGCTTATTAACCCTTCCACCTCCAATGAAGGGTTCACATTTTGTGTTTCATGACAAGAGTCTTCTGTGTATATTTCCATCTGCTGTATCCCAAGGCCACCAACGAGTCCTTAAGGTGGATCAATTTTATCTTAGGACTGGGAAGATTTTGAAAAAATCCCGGATCCAGACGCAAAGAAGCCTAATGACTGGGATGCAGCAATGGATGGCGAGTGGGAGCCCCCTTTGATCCCAAACCCAAAGTATAAGGTAAAGGGGGGGTTTTCTCTTGCAAAGAAAACAAAATATAAAACAAGAAATGAATGGAACTTCTAATGGACAAAGTATCAACTCTAAGGCTTGATGGATGTGTTTAGGGTGGGCACTGGGCTAAGGATGAGGCCAGGCTTACCTTGCGTGGGTCAGAACATACTTCTTTTGTTTATATGCCTCAAGGGAGGCTGTGAGGAGAGCTGGCCTGGGATTCCTGAGCTGGCAGTGTGTATTAACTGATTCACCAAATCTTGTCCTTCCTTTGAGGAACAGCTGAGGCCACTGGGAAGGATTAGTCTGTAGGAGAAAGAGCTCGGTGACATGATTCTGTCCTTTCCATTTTTAAAGTTCTGTCATCATCTGTGTGGCTTCAGAGGGGAAAACTAGGAGGTAGGAGATATATGGAGGTTGAATTTGGCTTAAGGTAAGGAAGACCTTTCTAACATTGAGAGCTGTCCAACTATGGAACAGATTAGATCACAACAAGTAGTGCTCCCTGTCCCTGGAGATGTTCCAACTTACCTCTTTATTCAAGTCATTGAGAAACACCAGTAACAGCACAGGGCTCTGGGGTGCAGGCTATTTATAAAACATAAACAGACAAACAAATGATTAAATAAATACATGAATGAATGAAACAATTTATTACAATTAGGACCAAATCCAAATTTCAGCAGAATTTGAGCACAATAACTTGGGTTATCTCATTGCTTGAAATTAGAAATGCTGGGAAAAGGCCGATATTCCTGTTCAATATTTCCTGTTTTAATTTTAGGGTGAGTGGAAGCCTCGAATAATTGATAACCCAGATTATAAAGGTGAGTGGGTGCATCCAGAAATTGACAATCCGAAGTATAAAGCAGATCCCAATATTTACAGATATTACAACATCAGTGTCCTGGGCCTGGATATTTGGCAGGTATGTAGTAATTAAATGCATACACATTTGGCAATCGCTTAGAATCCCAGAATTGCATAGTGGGAACGGACCTTAGAAGGATTCTGGAACAACCCATAAATGAGTAGGAATCCATGCTGCCACTTGAAGCCCCCAGTGGTGGGGAACTGACTACCTACCTGTCAAGGCAGCCCATCCCACTTTTAGATGTTGAGAAGTATTGTAGCTTCTCCTTGATTTCAATCCTAGATCTGCCTCTTTGCAGCTTCCTCCCCCAGCTCTGGGTCCTGCCCCCGGGGCCAAGCAGAACAAGGCTAAGCCTTCCAACACACCAAGGTGTTAAGGAACCCTGTGTAGGCAGAAAGAGCCTGAGGTTCAGGATGGACAGACCTGAATCTCCCTTCAGTGCCCCTTTCCCTTTCTGAGCCTCAGTCTTCTCATCTATAAAATGGCATAATTCTACCTGTTCTCTGCATCTTTGGTTGCTTATGACAATAAAGTGAGATCATGGATGTGAATAAGCTTTGAAAAGTTGACAGGATGCTTCAAATGTAGGGGATTACTGTCATTACTGGTATTACTACTGCTCCAGAAACCAAGGCCTCATTTACTTTACCTATCTCTGTGGAAAGGCAGTGTTGCATAGTGGATAGAGACTTGACCTTGAAGCCAGGAAGACCTGAGAAGACCACATACTGACTGTGTGACTCTGGGTGAGTCACTTAACTTCCCAGGGCTATAGGTAACCCTCTAAATTGGTAAAATTGGTAAAAAGGAATTTCCTCACCTAGGAGTTATGATAACAATGAAATCATAGTACAATCTCTTCCCACCTGCCAATGTCTTTCCTTCTCCAATTACATTGTATATATTATATATTTTCTAATTAATTTTGTATTTACTATGTTGTATCCCCCAATAGAATGTAAGCTCCTTGAGGGCAGAAATTGTTTTATTTTTGTCTTTGCATGCTGGCACATAGTAGGTACATAATAAATACTTCTTGCTTACAGCTCAGTTGAATCCCTGTTCCCCTCAATAAACCCTAATAACAGGCCCCATTTCTGAAGTGGTTTCAGGTTTACAAAGTACTTTCTTCATGACAACCTTGTGAAGGAGGCATAATAACTATTAATATCCCCACTTTATACATGGGGAAACTGAGGCTTCTCAAAGAGTTTATGTGACTTGCCCAAGGTCACATAGCTAGTTGGAAGTATCCATGATATAAGCCCAAGGTTCCTAACTTCAGGGCTCCTTCTAGAATTCCTTCCCCTCAGTTACCCTCTTGGTACAAGCAAAGAAAGCTTTGTGCTCAGTATTGAGGGATCCAAGGTCAATAGGGTATAATTCCTGCCATGATGGGTTGAAACATGGACATAAGTAAAAAGTCAGGTACAAAGCTGATTTTGGAGAGGTACTGAGTGTTCTGAGTAGTCCCAGGGGGGAGACAGCATGTTTGGCTGGGGGAGGGGGGTCAGGGAAGACTTTTTGGAGGAGGCATAATGGAGCTGACCCTTGAAGGACAGGTTAGACTTTATTGGCAGAGATGAGTGGGGAGGCCATTTCTGGCAGAATTTTTTTTAAAATATGAGATCAGGAAAGCAACTAGACTGGAGAAGGTCAAATAAATGGGCTGGAATGGGAGGCAAGAAGAGAAGAGGAGAATTGGCTGAGGATAAAGCCAAGAGGGCCAGAGGCTGGTACATCACAGGCACTTAATGCTCATGGATTGATTGAGGGACATGGACAAAAGAGTGCCCAGATGAGAAGCCATGGTAACAGAGTGATCCACGTGGGTAGGAATGCCCAGCCCAAGGAGGCCCCAGATCCAGCCAAACACTGATGGGTAATCTATACCCAGGTCTGATGGGAGAATCCTCACTGCAACGTCTCTGACCTGTGGCGCCTCAAGTCTGCATGAACAACTTTCTGGATGTAGAATGTCAGAAAGATCAGGACAGCCTAGAATGATGGGCCAGATCCAAGCTTTTCGGCCAAACTGGATCATAGGATCCCAGTTCTAAGACAGGAAGGGACCTCTTCAGTTGTTGAGTCTAACCCTCTCATTTTACAGATGAGGAAACTGAAGCACATGGAGGTAAAGGGACTTAACCAAGGTCACACAGGTAGAAAGTAGCTGATCTGGGATTTGAATCTAGGTCCCTCACATCCAGATCCAGCCCTGTCCACTGTAGTGCGCTGCCTGTAGAGTGATGAGCCTTTCAGTAATGAGTGGGCTGGTTCTCGGCTGACAGACACAAAGCTCCATCCTGGCTCACACACTCCCAGCCGCACAGAGCCTCTGGTCATAGAGCCTTTGAGAGCCAGCTTCACTCCTGTACCAGGAGGAGACTTTAGACTGGAACCTCAGGGGAGGCGGAATTGCAAATAAACACTTTAATAAGCAGTTATTCTTTTTAAAATACCACAAAGGAGCTCACCCTGCAAGATTTCATAATATTCAAAATATACAAAATGTGTTAGTAAATAATAATTTTCAAAATAATCCAGTATTAGGCAAAAAAAAAAAAAAAAAAGCAACCAAGTGCAACAGGATGGACTCCAGAAATCAAAGCCAGTGACTATGAGGTCCTAGAACCTTGACGTACAGACACCTAGGGCGCCATATTGTCCAACCCATCCCTGGCCAAGTCTTTCTTCTGTAACATCTCCAATCAACTTTTATCTAGCCTCACTCTAAGACCTCTAAGGAGGGGGAGCTGACGATCTCCCAAGGTGATTTCTCCCTCACATCCAGCCTAAATCTGCCTGTTGGCCCTCAGGCGCCAAGTGGAACAAGGGCACGCCCTTCTCCATGGACAGCCCTGCAAATGCTTGAAGACCCCTCTCTTGTCTCCTCTCCCTCCCCCATGCCAAATATCCCCAAGTCCACCAGATGACGTCAACCAAGCCTTTCCCCATCTTGACTGTCTCCTCTGGACACTCTCCAGTTTATCAATGGCCTTCTGAAAATCCTGTGGCCAGAGCTGAACCCAGTCTTCCATGGGTGACCTGGCCGGGGCAAAGGGAAGGGGGACTCTCACTTCCCCAGCTCTGGACACTGTGCTCTAAGAGTACCCACATGACAAGAATGCAGCCTACAATCACATGGGCTTTTTGGGGGGCTATTCTGACATGTGTGGGATCATATTGAGCTTGCCTTCCACTGAAACCCCCAGATCTTTTTCAAATGAATTGTCATCTAGCCATGCTGGTGTTTAGCCAGTGAGTTAAAATTTGTCAGCCATTATCTAACTAGGTCTTTACAATAACATCACAACGTAGGTAGGTACTGCAGGTATTATCTGCACTACTATTATTCTCTATAATGACACTGCTGCTCTGAGTTACATAGCTAATAATTGTCTAAGACAGAATTTCGACCCAGATCTCTACTTACTCCAAACCATGAAGCTCAATTGCTGTATCGCAAGGCCTCTCATGATGGAAGGAAGTGATTCTTGTCATCTAGCCCAAATTTGTCTCTCTGCAACACCCCCCACCCCACCTCCATACACACCCCGCTCCGGGTTCTTCTCTCTGGGACCCAAAGAGAGCAAGTCTCATGTGCCTTCCACACAAGAACCTTTCATATCCTTGAAGAGGATCTCGTGTCTCCCCCAGTCTTCTCTTCTCCAGGATGAACACCCTCAGTTCCTTCAGCTGGTCCCCTTTTGTATGTCCATCAGCTGCCCTTTTGTGGACCCACAAGTTCTGGTGCCCAGAATCAAATGGAGGACCATACTTAGAGCTGGGCAAGGGAATCAGGGAAGGCTTCCTGAAAGAGGCAGCAGCTGAGGTGGGCCTGGAAGGAAAGGAAGACACATACACAAGGTCAGATAAGGTGGTAAAGAGACGGTCTTCCCGCAGGTAAAGACTAGGAGAAAGGAAATGGCAAAGTTTGGCTGCAATACAGCATATGGGAAGTGGAACTGAGGGTATGGGCAGAGGGAGGAGCAAAAATTAGTCATCTAGTGTGGTCCCTGATTGCAGAGGGCCTTGGCTTCTCCTGTCCTCTCTGCACTGAAGCTATTTCTACAGCCAATGAAGATATTATCCCATGGCTCAAGAAGGTTATTTATTGACTTTGGGAGAAAGCAAAAACATTTCATCTAAATTCATGGTAATTATCCCAAGCATCTTTTCTTCCAACAGGTAAAATCTGGTTCTATATTTGACAATTTCCTCCTGACAAATGATGAAGAATTTGCCGAAAAAGTTGGAAATCAGACCTGGGGAGTAAGAAAAGTAAGCAGAGCCTTTGCTTGGTCATGGGCAAATTTCAGCAGGATCACCTAATTATAATTTAATCACTTATCGTGCCCTGGAATTCTTTGTTGTAACCAAAGAATTCATCCCTTGGTGGCTGATTTGTTGGCAATGAGCCTAGCAGGGCTAACTGAGGCTGCTCCCCTTTGGAAGAGCCAGGAAGACCCTCAACTCTACTGGCATAGCTTACAAGCCATTGGAGACACCTCCCTGCAATCCTAGGGGACTGAAAAGAAATATAAGTACATATAACAAATCTAATTTTTTTATTAAAAGATGAACATTAGGCATCAATACAGTCAATTAAATATCCTTAGTATCAGTTTACATTTAACATGATTTCTTTTTTAAAATTCAAATGAATTTTCTTTTGTTTTCAACTAACATATACTTCTTTTCCCTTCCCCCACCTACCCCCAGGGTCCTGCCCATTGGGAGAAAGGGGAGAAAACCAAAGTCTTTATAACCAAATCTGCATATATTTAGTGAGGGAAAGATTACTTTTCCCAGGAACCACCGAGGGCTAATCTCCTCCAAATCCCCCACTCCCAAGAAAATGAACACCACTCTACAGATTCTTTAAAATGTAGCCAAGGAGTGAAAATGTCTCCTACAGGGCAGGCTAGAGTCATTCATTCATTCATTCATTCATTCATTCATTCATTCATTCATTGGATAATCCACCTGTTCAAGTACCTACCATGTGTAAGACTTTGTGCTAGGTACCGTGGGGAGAACTTTAGATAGTTAAGACAGTTCTTGCCCTTATGGAGTATATAATGGGGGGAAGTGGGAAGGGAAATAATACAGTTATATAATACTATAGAATAGAACACAAGAACCAGAGAGAAACAAGATGCTATGCAAAGTCTGAGGAGGGAGAGATCACTTCTGATCTGGGGGAGGAGGGAAAATCAGTGAAGGGTTCCTGTAGGAGGAACCAATGAACCTAACCTTAAAGGTTAGGTCACTTCTCAAAGGTTAGAGATGGTGGGAGGGGAAAATTAGAGTTGTCTAACCTCCAAATTATGTGGAAATTACATATTCAAAACAGGACCCAGAAAGAATATGGAGGGAAGCTTATGAAGCAGAGGAAAAGAGAAAACAACAGGAAGAGACCAAGAAAAAAATAGAAGCTGCCGAAGAAGAAGAAGAAGAGAAGAAATATGCAGTGGAGGAAGAGGATGATGAGGATGAGGATGAAGATGTTAACCAATCTGAACTGGAAAAAGACAAAGAGCTGAAGGAAGAAGAAAAAAACAGGGATGAAGGAGGAAATGGGACCAATGGAGTTGACATAAAGGATGAATTGTAACTGTATTGAACATAGTAACTGTAGTCAATAGCTAATGGGCCATTGTTAATTAGGCTTGGGAGCTCACTTAAAACAATGCAAAAATGAACGCAACGAACATTTAGTATGCTCAGAGAGTATGCAGTTGGGTGGAGCTAAGTGCAGGGGGTGGTACAAGGTTTAGATAAAGGTCTCTTGCCTTCAAGGAACTTATGTGGTCTAACAAAGTCTTACCGCCTGGATGCATTGTTGAGACATTACACATGAAATGGATGGGCAGAAACCAGCCCTTAGTTGGCACTGGGTGCTCTGCCAGGAATTTGTGGGCAGCCAGGTAAAGAAGGGTCTTATGTTCTTGACTTGTGCTGGAAAGTAACACTTTCCTCCAACCGTGAATGGTGTATGAGGCCTTTGGATCAAACGCTTTTGTTTAATTACTTAAATTTTTACAATATCAAGCATCTAACAATAAAGGATGAATCTTTGGGTAAGTCTTTGGGTTTCTTTTCACGTTTATAAGTCAGTGTATTTTCAGTTCTTATATTTCTGGATTTTTAAATGGGGGGGTAAGGGAAGAGATGATCCTTTCAGGCCCACCTGTGTACAAAGCCAGTCTTTCTGCCCACCAGCAGCTTCCCTATTCCCTGCCCCCCACCCCGAGGGTTACATTTAATTTCCTGACCAGTACAGGAGTCTTTCCAAATGTTACTTACTGGACTCCTCCGACTCACTGGGACACAGGATGGAGGCATTTAAAAGGATTCTCTTTCCGAAACAATCTTCATCTAAATGCAGAGGAATAGTAACCGAGTCTGTGGAAACAACCAAAATGCAGCTGGCTGCTGAGCCAACAGCATAGGCAGCAGGAAGGAGACAGACAGATCTCCAGGTTCCTGCCTGCCCCGGGTCCCGAGGGCAGGAGAGTGATGGAGCTCTGAGCAACCTGGGCGGGAGTGGGGGCTGGGGCCATGAGACCACATCTGCTTACATGTTCATTTTAGGTTGAGAATTACTTCTATACAGTCTGCTCTTCGCTCACACGCCTTCGTGCCCACACACCCTGTGGTTGGTTTTCTCCATCAGTCGGTCAGGGCACTGAGTCAAGGAGGCTCAGCTTGAATCTCCTTCCCACCACTCTGTTCACAAAGTAAATCCTAAACCCTGGCTAGGCAGCTCACAAGATGTGTGTGTGAGGCCCAAATCCATCCTGGGGCTGCTAAAACAACAACCCTGAGAGAATGACAACTTCTCACATTCCAATAGTACTTACAGTGTCCATCCCTCCTTTCATCCATCCGTCTAGCTATGTATCTATCGTGTATGTATGTATGTAGCTATCTATTGCTCAGTATGGTCCCTAGTACATAGTATGTACTTGAATGCTAATTGACCATCCATCCATCAAGCTAGTTATTTATTATGTTTGTACGTATGTATGCATGTGTATGTGTATGTATGTATCTATTGGTTAGCATG